AAAAAAAACTGTCACAACTTAGCGGTTCTTCTGTGCGTATAAATCGGAAATCCCGCTATACTGTTTCTTGACCACTGGACATCGCCTAGAAACGACTTCTCCAGCGAACCGTAAGTACACGTTCTACTCTCCAAATAAAAGGAAAGATAAATGGCACCACGATAGCCTTTTTAACACGTTAGGGGTATCAACGCCGTCATCACATGTGATCGGTTCCTTCCAAAAGCCATCAATATATAAACTTGCCGATCCCTGAAAATACCAGTCTCACTCGCAGCACTCTTTAAAGTAACAACTTCTATTAACCACGAGGTCCCTCGTAAGTTCCATTGCGGAAGTTTTGACTTATATACTTCTTTTTATCGCCGTTAATTCAGGTCTTTATTCCAGCAACTCGCGGAAGTACGGTTGACACGCAAATCTATATCGTGTCTGTCAGGGCCGTAACCAGGGGGGGGGGGGGGTCAGGGGGTTCTGACCCCCCCCCCCCCCCCCCCCGAAATCTTTTTCTGGGTACGGCCCTGGTCGGTGCACTGGCAGCCAGCCGATTTTAATCTCCACCTCTGCGCACGCGCAGTGGCGCCGGTCAGCTACCGGGTACCAAACCGGGACCTTTTCTCCGGTTTGCTGTAACTCTCCATTATATGCCACCGATGTACATGATTCATAGGCGCAAATAAGACAATAGACACTTTCAAAATGGCCGCCGTTGTCCCCGAAAACCCCCCCCCCCCCCCCCGAAATTTGTTTCTGGGTACGGCCCTGGTGTCTGTATACGTTATGCCTCGACAAACAGTCGTCAAAAACTGCTTTTTTATATATAAAAAACATCTCGCTTTTTTATCCTTTTTGGCCTCTCTTATTTTTCTGAAGCGGCCTCCTTATATACCGGCACCGTAAAGTGCCTAACAATAGGGAGTTTTAGAATAGCGCACGCTAAAGCTTTGCGCACGCAAAGAATAGCGTCGTCGCCACTGCGCATGCTCCGAACGCAAACCAGGTTTTGCGCTTTGCGTGCGAAATTTTAGCGCGCGCTATTTCTCGGAAATAGCGTGCGTACGCAAAGAGTCTTTGCGCTTCTCCAAGGAGGATTCGTGATGAAAAGTTGGCCAAAGCCAAGACGAGCACAGTTAAAAAAAATGGCGGCTTCCAGGATTATGTCGGCGGCTGTTTTGGCGGCGTCGTGAGTTCGACGTCGGCGGCATCCTCGCGACTGCAATTTTCAATACGGGACGACATTGTACTCGGTTTGGCAGCGATCACCGGCAACTTGATGCTTGCGACGCGCGAACATTTCACGGCGAACGAACGATGTGCGAAGGTCAGTACACGAGACCTCTCTTGCCGAGGCGACGCAAGCGGACACGACCGGTCAACCGCTCGCGTCGCGTTCTCATGTTTAAACAAATTAAAATGCTACTCTGGACCAAAAAACTCGTTTTTTTCCTAAAGTTACAGCATTTCGTGTGTGAAATAAAATATTTTACTGTATCTTGGTGGCGTCGCAAGCGCGAGATGCTTGGGCTTTTGCGTCGCGGCGGAGAAACGCTATTCTAAAACTCTCCTGCGTCGCGTGCGCTAATACAAGCGCTAAATTTAGCGCTAGCGTGCGCTAAAATTGCGTACGTTATTCTAAAACTCCCTAATGACACCCAAGCGACAACAATTGCGCTATTTAAGGTGAAAAACTTTAAAGATCTGGTATCGCAGCCGAGTAATTTCTTAAGTTCTTACAACCAACTCTACACTACGGGGTGTTTTTGAGAGTCACCGAAAACTTAAGAAACGCAGGACGAGGCGAGTCCAGAGTATTTTGTTAATCATCGCTCAGCAACCATTCAAAAAACAGAATAACACAACAAAATAACTCAGAAGAACCAAGCGCAATGCTGGAAGACTGAGTATAATGAGCCAAACTCCGCATTTCTTAAACTGTCAGCGTCCATGCGGAGGGCAAGTTCGTCTGCTTCTTGCGTAGGGGTTGCGATGACGTCAGAACACCGAGCTCTGATTGGCTGTGATGGGAAGGATAGGCGAATAACTTAATGCTCGCTGCCTTGAGGTCTACCGACTATACATATAATCGGAGCGAATTAGAGTTCGGCATCGTTCTGAAGCCACCGCAACCACAGGGCAAATAGCAGACGAACTTTAGCTCTGCACACAGTTGGTTTAAAAGAAAAAGCAGAGAAGCTTGAGGGTGTCAGTGAACTGCTACCTCTCCTCAGCCAATGAGATTGAGGACACTAGCCGATAAAACAACCGAAGGAAGAATCACGAAGCAAGAAGCGCAAGCCTTATTAACCACTCCTGCAATTCTTAAGTTGTCAGTAGCCGAGGATACGTGGATGCGACCGTAGTGGATCGAATCGTGATACTAAGATCGTGAATGGGTAGAAGAAGCAAAGGAACTGGGCGCGTATGGTCGGTTCCCCCCCGGGGTTTATTCAGAAATTTCAACCTGGGGGGGGGGGGCGGGGGGTATCACAATTGTTTGGGGGGCTGCAGGGGGGGGGGGGGGGGTAGGTGGATGTAGCCTTGTACCTGCTTCGCGCAGAAAATTCTGGGGGGTGTCGGGCTCAACCCGGGGGGAGGGGGGGGTCTGTATAAACTACTGGTTCCCCCTCGATTCGATGCTTTCTACTGTCGCACTCTTTAGTCAAATTATTTTACACACATCTGCGGCCCACTGCTGCCAACTCTCGAACCGCGGAGATTGACTTATCGATTATAATTTATGTCGAATCAATACTGCACAAAATTGTGCTGTTTTATTAAGAGCTAAATATTTAAAACCTTAAAAAATCGCAGTGAGAATATATATGCATGCCCTCTCCTGACGAAGCCGAGCCTCTTGGCGAAACTGCCATAATACATACAATAAACTCCTAGCATAGCAACTCCGCGAGCACGGATCTTTGACTTATTACATTTCCCCGGTCCATTGTTCTCAGACTACTCTGTTTCACCTATATATAGGTGAGACAGAGTAGTCTGAGAACAATGGACCGGAAAAATCTAATAAGTCAAAGATCTGTACTTGCGGAGTATATATATATATATATATATACTGTTTTCGTGTAGTATTCACAAGAAAAAGAGCATCATTTTGAAAGAGTAATAAATGCTGTGGTGGTCTATGGCAAATAAGTACCTTTCAATGGTTGAGTACACTGTGAGGTGGTGGAGCAGTCAACAGGTTAGTGCTACCGTGGTCGCATAGTCTGTATTCGTTGTTCCTGATGATGTTATGATGCGCGTTGCTTGTACACTAAAGGCATGTGCGCGCGTGTAGTGCAGCCCCAGGGACAAGTCAAATAAATACATTTATACCCTCCGGTGTTAAACGACACGACAAACCACGCAGTGCTTCGCCAAATGTAACCTTTAGGCGGATTGTGACACGACCTTAAACACCGTTTTTAATGACTAATGCCTAATCTCATCGGCTGCGGAACGATAAGATGGTTCACACTCGCCACGCCGTGAGTTTCTGAAGTTGTCTGTTATAATAATTTATCAAAGCAAATAAGAACAGTAAATGGAGGTTGGAGGTACTTAAGCTTTTTGGCTTTTTACTGTTTAGAGGAGCACGTTCGCTCATTGAATTCGTAAACCGACATCTGCTGGAACGGCTAGCGTTGTCTCAAATACTTTTTTTTTCTGAATTGACAGGTGGTGATTAATATTTCTCAGTATATAAAAAAAAGTACACTTCATACTTCCTGTCAACCCACCGCGGTTCATCGGTTGCTTGCAATCATCTGATAAAAATTAAAGAAATAAACGCTTGAAAATACTTTACTTGATTTTAAACGGAACAGTTCTGCTAGACAAAAATTGATTAATAAGCGACCGTATACATATATATCTATAGAATAACGCGAAACAAACACACTAGAACACTTGAAGACTCTCGTTACGCCAAAAATTGCTTTAAAAATTCATATTTCCCCCGAACGATACAGGAGTGGAATGCCCTGCCAGAAGGCACTGTTGGCTGCCAACACCGTTTCTGAATTTATGAGAGGTCTGCAAACGTTATTGTACAATTTATGTATCTAAATCTGTTGCTCACAGTGCTTTGTGTATTTCTTTTTTTTGTGAGTGTGTTTTCATTGTGCTTGATAATATAACCGTAGAGTACGCTGGTAGTGTTATGTTGTGCACCATACTCTGCGTGGCTATTTTATGTTCACTTTTGTCGCTCAAACCTATTATGGTCCCAGCTGTGAGGATTAATAGTATTGTCAAATAGATAAATAAATAAATAAAAAAACGGCGCGCCTGCATCCGGTTTAATTCACAGGTGAACTCGTAAATGTACAAATGCTTTGCGGCACGTACAGTCGGGAGCAAAAGTTTGCGGGGCACCGGAGCGCGTGCCGAAATGCATCGCCGCGCCGTGCAACGGCGCGCCGCCGCATTAAAAAGCCGCGCTTTGCGCATGCGCGCCCTTCGTGCTGGCAGTCATGTCTCTTTCGCTCGTTTCTGTCCGACTCACTCCTGATAACCGGAGTCGGCGCCAGGGGCGCAAGTTGCCGTTTCGCTGGCTGTCATGCCTGGCGTCCTCTTCAGCCGCCACAGCAGCCGCGCTGGGCGACGGAGCGCCTGGTTAACCCCCTCCCCTTCCCTACGCGAGCTCCGTGACAAAGCGCGGCGGCTGAAGCAGACGCGCAGCATGACAGCCAGCGAAGCGCTAACTCGCGCCCCTGGCGCCGACTCCTGTTATCAGGAGTGCGTCGGAAAGAAACGAGCGAAAGAGACATGAATGCGAACACGAAAGGCGCGCATGCGCAAATCGCGTCTCCCTAATGCGGCGGCGCGCCGTCGGAGGGCGCGGCGATGCATTTCGGCACGCGCTCCGGTGCCCCGCAAACTTTTGCTCCCGACTGTACCACCCCTATGGCTTTCTTTGATCATTCCTTTTCCTCTCACACAGCATACGAGCAACGTTTCACACAATCGCTCATCTTCTCCGTCGTTCCCCCTTCTTCAAGATGGCCGCCCCCACACTCATCGCAGCAAACACGACGGTAAACAGCGAGGCGACTTACTCCACCATCGATCCAGGCATTTACGTTGCCACCAATAACCACCAGAGGGCACATAACCTGCAGATACTGGACCAACTACAAGCCTCGTTTATGGATGACACCAAGGAACAGCAGTTTCTGGACGTGGGTTGCGGCACCGGAGACTTTACTCGAGATCATCTCCTTCCACGTTGCACGCCACTCGAAAGAATGGTTGCGGTCGATGTCTCCGAGGACATGGTGGAGTATGCCAAGAAGAATTTCGCCCATCCCAAGATATGCTACGATGTCCTGGACATATCGGGGAACGGCGTGGCTGACTTCGTCAAGAGATACGGTCAGTTCGATCGCGTCTACTCATTCCATTGCCTACAGAGGGTGACCGATCAAGGCGCAGTACTGAAGAACATCGCCATATTGCTCAAACCCGGTGGGGAATGTCTGCTTCTTTTCGGAGCTTCATCAATCATTATGCGTTTGAATAAGATGCTTGCAACAATGGATCATTGGAAAAAATATCGAAAGGTAAGATGACATTAACCCTTATCAAGACACTCGCGTTTTTTTTTTTTTTTTTTGTTTTTTGTTTTTATTCGCCATTTGTCCTGAAACACTCGTTGGCGGATAAAAGGGAACAGCGCACATTAGCTTCCAAACACCGTGCTAATATAATTATGTTGCTTGAAAGACCTAAACACACAAACAGACACGTAAACGGGCGCTAAAAGAGCGCAATATTTCGTTTTCAAATCGCTACTACAAGAACTCCCAATGCAGGCTTCACGTTTTTACTTCCTTGCACGAAAGCCCAAATTGACAGGCAAGGTTGTGGATATGGACCATTTGATGTTTTGAGCACACTCTCCTTGACAGCCATTTTATAACTGCCTTGGAAAGTGAACTGATGAGCAAAGGGATACCACGTTGCACGGTAAGATGCACGTAGAATGCCAATACAACAAAAATATGTTCAATCGCTGTCGTTCTGTTTCGCGTTCACAGCAGCGCGGGCAACTGAGCAGGCAACCCTGTTCATTTTATTGTATAGTCCCGTGACCACCCTCATCTCGGCATCTCGTCGATACAATATTCAGGGGGCAGGTCTCGTTTGGCTGTTAGCACATTGTGTATATTATATCGGTGGTCCATCTTTCGAGAGAAGATCACCATTTGACGACGTTAACATTCATCTGTGCATATATTTCCGGTTTTTAACATCTTACAGTATGTACCCACATAAACCAATAAGGCTTGTACGTGGGGCGCGGCAGGTACATACTCAGGTAAACACACACTCATGTTAATATACAATTTTTGCCTCTGGCATATTCAATAGCTTAATTACAATAGTATCCATGTTAAACTCTGTTTTAGAAGTTTCAACCAAACAAAAAACACTCTTTAATATTAAGGTTTGTTTCAACGTTTATTTACACACTGAGATGAAACAACCTAAAAATATTCGCAATAAAATCAAATCTATATTTATACATGGTCGGAAGGGCGGTCCACTTCGTTGATTCTGATTTTCTTGATAATTTTTTACCCTTTTTATTACATTTCGTTTCTCCTCATTGATGCATTTTTTAGATAGCTTTATTTTATTTTGTGCGAATTTTCGCATTGAGTTATGTCTTCAGGCAGTTCGTTCCCAAGTTTAGGTACGTACTATTTTCTTGATGTCTCGCCATATTTCGTGTCTATAAATGGTTCTCCAACTATTCTGCTTGAACATAACATTCATTCCTTAACAGTTCCTAGTGTATGAATATTGATTAACGAATGTTCTGTTAATATATAATACTTCTATTGATCATTAAAGCGGTACACTCCTACTTCTTCCTGCATAAACTGATTAAAATAATTTTTTTCGCTGTTATGTTCTACATTTCTACATAAATTCTTTTCGATTGTTTAGATTTCTGTTTTCAGATATTTGGCACAGTGCGCGTAAACAGTTATTCTACATTTTAATACCAATTTTCGTGATAAATTATATATTATTCGAAGTACAGTGCGGGGAACAATATCGCGAATATGAAAAATATGTGCAGTTAGTATTCTCCGTTTCGCGCATGCCTTTTCTACATAAATTTTCTATTTAAGATGACGGTCTATCTACAATCCAAGGTATTTTACATTGTCGATGTATTCTAGTGCCGGGCAAGAACAGTTGTTACAATATTTTTTGTCCTTGTGTTTGTACGTTTCTTCTCGTCCCAGTCTAGGTGATTTTAGTAAAATGCTTGTGTCTCTTTCTGTGTCAATGGATGGCTGTCCTGAGCTCAAATTTCTTAACAAGATCGATTGAAAACAAGATTTGTATTGACGCTGAGAACGGTGCAAGAAGCTAAAACTGAAACGTGGAGGAAATGTACTTCTTACTCTAAATGTTGATTCATAATAACTCAAAGAATATTGTTATGAGTAACATGCACAAGGTATGTGGGATCACACAACGATTTTACTTTAAAGAGTTTGTTGCCTGAATATTTTAGTCCACGGGACGATTCGTAAACCGCATTGATATTTTATGACTTCATTTTCCGCCACTTAACAAATAAGTGAATGCCTTTGGCAGCTCATCGGAAAATGCCTAGGATTGTCTCTAACTCGTGGTTTCTTTTTTTTTTCTTTTTTTTTTACTGGTTTAAATTAAAGAATTTTTTATAAACTACGGAAGCCAAGAAACACTATCCTGGGAATACCGCCATTGTCAAACCTATACATAATCAATATTTAACAACAGGTTGGCCACTCAATCTCTTGTATCTAGCTAAGACATAACTAGTGGCGAGGCTCTGGTCCCTTATATATTTGTTTTAACATTCAGTAGATTTTAAGGATGAATATCATTCAATGCACTCCCCTATCCACCCTCTGAGAACCATTCCTCGCACTTTCATGCAGGTGTTTGAGAATACCATTCCTCCAAGCGCAGATCTGGTGAGCCAAGATGCCCTTTTGCCCTACATGTTGAACCTTGTGAAGAACGCCGGTCTAGTTCCAATTACCTGCGAGTTGATCCAAGGACCGCTCACGCACTTAAGCCCCGAGGAAATGATCGGTAAGCGAGGATATATTAATCGTTCCTAACTGCTCCTCTCTAATGTTTGATAACTTTATACCTGGCTAGATGATTTAATACGATAGCTTTCAGGACGTCGTGTCGCAGAAAAACCGGCGGTGATGCGACTGGAAAATCCGGATTGGTTGATATTGCCATGACGTCAAAGCCATATGACCTCGTGTGGGAAGTTCGAACAACTCACAACGTGGAAAGAAAGTGATTAAAACATGACATGTAATGCGAATATGACGTCGCCTCATGTCTCAAACGATTTCACTTTCTAAAGTAATTCATTTACTTTAAAGAAAAAGTTGGACGAGTTTTAGGTGGAGGTGCGATTCAAACCCTTGGCCCTTCGGTTGCGAGCCCGAGACGCTAACCACTTGACCACGCAGACGACTTTTTTTTTCATCAAAAACAAAACGAGACGCAGAGTGCAACAAAGTATAGGTTATAAAAAGATGGCCCACGTCGCTATTCTAAAATTCTTTCATGCCCCGCAATGTTTTTAATACCGGCACCCATTCGGGCAATGGTATACGCGTGTACGTGTTGGTGGGGCTTTGGAAAAAAGCTGTTCATACAGTTTGACCAGTCCCAAGCCCCTATAATTTCAGGAGCCACACGCAGCCTGCACGAAAAAAAAAATAAGAAATGCACTGACAACACTAAACAAAGAAGAGGTCGAACAGTCGGCAAACAGGTATATGGAACTGAAGAAAACAAGCAGACACTATAGCAAAAATTAATTTGCCTACATCGTTCAACGCACAACAACAAAAAGTCTCAGGCGTACATTATTTAGCACAAGACAAAAAAGAGCACTGCCCCACAACATTCAAGAAAAAACAAGAAAAAATAGTCTACGTTAATTAATTGTACAATATACAAAACGCGAGCATATTCGCCTTTACAGAAAGACACGCAGAAAATACGCACAAAGGCATCGTTCATTCGTGGCCGATTTGCCCAAAAAGCATCATGTCCCGCAAGGTGCCCATCGATAGCGTGTCAGGTTCTATGAAGGAGGTTAAGGAGCGTCGGTAGCGTGTGTGCTGTAGTATAATGGCCGTAATTTGTTTTAAAAAGAGGAACATGCCAGGCTTGCAGAATGCGCGTTTGGTACGAGTGTAAATTTACGTTATTTGGAGCATATATGCAAATCACCTTCCAGTTTAAGTCCTGTGTTTGATAATCACAGAGTCTAAGCGTCCTTGCAGGTCAACCGTGAAAGATAGTTCACATAATTGAACAGATATTTTTTTCTGAACAACCCCCCCCCCCCCCCGCCACCTTTCTCCGAAAGCTCTTCAGTATGGCTGACACCAACCTCGTATTTGCAAAAGAAAAGACTTAAGGCGCGATCCACTTGTTTCTCTGTGGACAGCTTTGTTTCCTATATTACAAAGATATCAATCTCTTTATCGTCAAGCAAACTTTGTAACTGATAATGCAATTTCCGAGAGTGGAAACCACGTACATATGAACTGCCCAAGTGAAGGCCGTCATTCATACTTTAAGGGCGCGGCGTTCCTCGGTCCTAACGTCTCAGCGGCTTTCGTTACGAGTGTAAGCGCTTACTCGATTACGTGCTTGCAGCGTTTATCTCATTCCGCTTTCCCTCGGTGGTGCCCGTTGCAACGGTGTCGGTGCACATGCCCTCGTTGTCTTTATGGTCTTTCAGCAGTCTGCTTTCTTGACCTGGTTCTTTTAGCCCTTGCTTACCCAGTGAATTTGGAGTCAGTTCTTTTGTAGCCTCGTTGCCACTGCCGGCGCTCTCGTTCGCAGTTGGGGTGACCTCATTTTTTGTCGCCACAGGTGGGTCTTCCTGAATTTGCGGCTGCTTGTCGCTTTCTGTTTTGGACCTGTATGGTAGGAGGGGCAAGTTGACGGCAGTAGCACCCGCGGTTGTCCCTACTTCACCGTCGGGATCCCCAAACTCGGTTTTGTCCATGAACTGTTCTAGGTTCTAGTCTGCTTCCTCTATAGTTCCTTCGGCATGGACGTGTACATAGAGTAGCACTCGCAACTATCGTCTCCGAATTTGTTGCAGGCCGGACATTTTGGTGCTCGGCACTGTCCTCGAATGTGGCCCATCTTTTAAGTCCGTAAGCACAGTGGTAGTCTCCCAGGCACGGTTACGAGGGACTGCACACCATAGATCTTAATCATGTGAGGCAGGTCCGAGGTGGTGACGGCGTCGTGCAGCGTCAGGCTGGCTTCTCGGGTCATGGTTTTCGTGTTTCCCATGCCGCGTACTCGACGATGCTTCGGACTGTGCCGAACGGTTCAAAGACCTCCACGACAAGTCTGCATTCTAAGTAGGTTCGAAGCCAAAGAAGCTTTACCTCTATGTCCTTGAAGCTGGGGTCCAGCATCAGGCATTCTTTTCTTTAACCTTGAGCTGTCCTGGTTGCTTCACCTTCTCTGTGGCTGCAATGCTTGCAAACGTGGCCATCCAGGTGTGGCTCATTTTAAATTGACCGATTGAGATCACTTCGGCCATGCCGACAATGTCCTGGAGTCCGTCTCGCAAGTCAATGGCCCGGTGCAGCCGGCCGATTAAATCCTCGTGCTAGAAAACCAAATTCATATGCATCTTTCCGTCCGGAAAACAGGACAGCAAAATACGGCACCCATCGCCGCCGGTGGCCGCGGCATTGATGCTTCCTTGGCCCGCTGGGGCCGATAGCGTGCCGTTTTTAGAGCGCGTTATTCTTCCGTCCGCTCTCGTCAGAAGTGAATTCGGGCCACGAAGACACGCTTGCACGGCTTGAGAACGACCGGCTTTACATGTGTAGCCATCGCGTTCCAGTCTTAAAGTCGAAGCTTAAGCCTCCTCCTGTAATCTTTATTTATTTACACAAATACCTGCTGCGCCGTCAGGCATTATGCAAAGGGGGGGGGGGGGGGGGGGGGAACAAAAGAAAAACACACTGAGAAGACATTTTCAGTAATGCCAATCGACGATCACTCAATACTACAATTTTCCTCTAGCACGCTTTTCTGCAGCCTGTCATAAAAGACATCATTAGTGATGACAGCTATCAGTTCTTCCGGAAGGGCATTCCACTCCCAGGCGGCTTCAACTAACAATGAATACCCTATACTATACCTTTGCTTCGACGATACAGTTCAGTTAGACGGCCCTCAGTGCAAACCCACAATAGCTTTTACTGTAGTCGCTAAGGGCTTAAGAAGCGTGGGGCGTGGCTTATATTGTTCATTCTTCTTCGTGATTGGTCCTTGGGCTTTCTTAGCCGCTAGTGTAGTGTTCTTGGACCGTTACTGTTTTTGATTTACGTTAACGACATTGTACAAAATATTCAGTCGACAATAAAACTTTTTGCTGATGATTCCGTTATTTACAGGGAAATAAATTCGACGAGAGACATTGAGATCCTGCAGAGCGATCTAGATAAGGTTGAATACTGGTCTAACCAATGGAACATGAGCCTAAATATTGGAAAATGTAACTTCGTTAATTTTGCTAGAAACGTCTCTAAATTTTTTACAAGTTATACTATCAAAAACCTGACAATCGGCAATGTCTCTGAGTGTAAATATCTTTCCGTTTATTTTCACCAATCACTTAAATGGAATAAACATATTGAGTACACAATTAATAAGGCCAGTAAAATGTTGTTTTTTATCCGTAGAAATTTCAAACACGCGTCCCGAGACGTAAAAGAAACTCTTTACTTCTTGCACGTAAGGTCAATGCTTGATTATGCGTGCGTTATATGAGATCCATACCAGCAGTATCTGATCGATAGATTAGAGAAACTTCAAAATCAAGCAGCGCGATTCGTCAGTAACAACTACGATCCATACGCTAGTATGACAGAGGTTAAAACCATGCTGGGATGGGAGCCCTTGAGCATTCGAAGGCAAAAATTAAAATTGAAGTTTTTCCATCGCATTTATTATAATAATACTGGTATTAATAAGAATGAGTATCTTTTGGGGCCAACGTATGTTTCAGCTAGGTGTGATAACTCTAGAAAAGTTTTTGAATATTCCTATAAAACAAACAGCTTCTGTCATTATTTTTTTGTAAAGACAATTAGAGAGTGGAACTTGCTGCCTGATGATGTGGTGAGCACCTTGGACAACAGTGTATTTTTTTCTCGGCTGTATATCTAATCTGTGCGGACAAGTGATCACTTTGTGTTTTTATGTATGTGTGTTATTTCCCGCCCCTCCTACAATAATGCCCTCGAGGCGATGTAGGTACTCTGTAAATAAAATAAGTAAATAAAATAAATAATGCTGCAGTCCCATTGGCTGAGGAGCAATATTGACAGGTTCTCGCCACTTTCTGCGTTTCTTGAACTGCCAACGAGTATAGTTATAATGCAATTAAATGCGAAGGTGCAAGCGAGCTGGAGAAGAATGACGAAAGTAGTCTCACTTCTTCGCCTATACAGAAAGAAATCTTTTTAACACTCTTTGGTGAAGCCGTGGCCTGTGACGCCACATGACTTCACTTTACCTGCTAATGTTAGCGGCAAAATTGTCGTTACATGACCTGAACACCAATTCAGTTTCCCCGCAAAATTTAGTGGAAAAATGACGTCGCGTGACTTCGTGTCACGTGACCTGTGCAGAAATTTTGTTTCCCCGCTTGATTTAGTGAGAAAATTGACGCCTCGTCACCTCAGCACTAATTTAGTTTCCTCGCTAAATTTAAAAAAAGAAATGTCGACACGTGACCGTGTCACGCTACCTATACACAAATTCAGTCTCCCCGCTAGATTTAGCGGGATAATCGGCGTCACTTAACTTTAACGCGAGTTTTGCTTGCCTGCTCAATTTAGCGGGGAAATGACGTCACTTAAACCTCCGCGCTAATACAATTTTCCCGCTAAATTTAACGGGAAAACGATGTCCCACGCCTTCATGTAACCTTACCCATACACGTTACCTATACATTTTTTTTGTTGTTGTTTTCAGGGCTTCTGATGACCTTGAATTGCCTTTCGGCACTTGTGACGAAAGAAGAGAAGCCCCTCCTCCTTAAGGACGTCACCGAATATTCGTCCAGGACCTGGTCTGACATGGCGTCCGGTTCCTCATCCCTCCCCTCTTGCTTGTTTCTGGTGCGCGCCCACAAACCACGACCCTAAGCGGTGTCGGGCAAACACAGTTTGCATACTTGCTGCCTAGAAGCTGTTGGACCAGCACCGTATTTGTGACGCTATCGCTCACACTTCACTTATTATTGTTCTCCCTATATCCCGCACTAATTGATGTGGAGCAGCTGTTCCAAGGTGACGGAGAAAGAAATTATGCAGGTTAGAAAACAAAAGAGGTTTCACAGGTGATTCGTGTGATGTCTTCGCCCAACATACTTTAATAAATATCTGTTTCGCTTGACCTTTCTCCGATTCCTATGCTCCGTTTCCGCAAAGGCCGACCGAAGGTGACACTGCGATTCGACAATACCAATCAAGCACCACCAAAAGTGCATTGTACCGGCGTTCGATCGCTTTTGTGTATGTCAAACTAATCTATCGCAGAACGAAGCGCAGGATCATAGGCGCTTGCAAGAAACCACGCTTCGAGAAGTAGTCTGGCGACCGTGGATAGAGAACGCTTTGTTTGGGTGCCAGTCTGGAAAGAGTGGGTAGAGCTCAGCAATGCTAGACTATTCAATGATCTACCTACACCAACAGCAAGATGGCGGTGCAAAGAAGCAGTACTTGCGAACGTCTATAGCAGGGGTGGCCAGGCTGACCCGTCTTAAGAGCCGCAAACAAAACCACGAAACTTCTAAGAGCCGCGGGGGGGGGGGGGGGGGGGGGGGCAAACTTTTGTTCAGAGCAATGAACTAAACTCGAACTCTTTTTGGGCTATCCAAGTCAAAAGCAGTCCACCTGTACGTAGGGTAGCAGTAGCACAAGACTACCAAACCGCAACCTGTCTTTCGATTTAAAACGTGCTCCATCTCTCTCTTTGGGCAAGTGCTCGTGTGACCGAGGGGGAGGCAGGTGTGTGCGTGTGTTTGGGGTGGGGGAGGCAGGTGAGGGAGCCGCGAGCCGCACTTTAACCCGCGAAGAGCCGCACCTTGGCCACCCCTGGCCTATAGACCTTTTCTGTGTACTCTCGTCTCCAGCCACCTAATAGGCGTATCCGGTATGGGCGACGAAAAAATAATCCAACGTTTCTATCTGAAAATGGTAAAAAAATAAAGGGGATTCAAAATGACAAAGTGTGGCGGTTACGCTTATATCCTAAATGCCTTCTATTGGCGTGGCAAAGGCAAAACAATGTTTTCGCCCATACTGGAGGTGACGTCAATTCAAGATGGCGGCACACTTGCAAAAAAGGTCTATAGCAAACGCATAAATGCGACGGGCGCCATGACGATGCATTTGTAACGCTCGCTGTAAAACCCAGGTCGTAGCACGTAGCATATACCGGTGGCCTGGTTCGTCCTGTGTAAATGCAATCTGATACAGGTGGACACAAATCTAGCAAAAGACACGTTCTAGGATAGGAGGCTAAACACACCAGCCAAAAACACGTTCCAGGCACGGCACCCATAGGCTTGGCTCAAAGGCCAGTAGCGTTCGAAGTGTCGTTACTGTCTTAGTTAGCCGAATCACTTTTCGGGTTTCCAGGCTTTCTCAATTGGCACGTTCACAAGGAAGAGGAAAAGCCACAAAAAAACGTAGAGCTCCGTAGAGCATGGTCCTGTGCGGCTAGAGTAGGTTCTGCAGATACAAGGAGGAGAATAAAATACGTTCTCATAATTCGCCGCGTTCAAAAGAACAAATATAGTAGCAAACTGAATGTTTCCTTTTATCCATAAAATATATAACGGCAATATTACAATGCGCAAAAGGTTCATTTCACTCCCTTTTTATGTCTCCTTGCGTGTTGATCACCATTAATTATTAAGTTGGAATTTCTCATACCAATTTCAATGCGCTTTATAAATAGGTTTACCACTCACCTCCGTTAAGTGGAACAATCTCCCAGCACGTGTTGTTTTGATATTTGTCTGTGATATTTCAAGGATAGTGTAGTTAACTTGTTTACTTGAATTTATCTGTAACTTGTTTTCCCATGTAGGAAATAGCGTAAAATTGAACTCATTCACACTGAACATACTTAGAACTCAGTTTGTATTTTCGTCTCCTTCCTTTTTGTTTTATCCGTATAAAAATTGATTATATCTCGCTTCCTTGTCTTCTGTAACAACAATGTGGCAATGTCTATCATACATATTACCGTCGAGTGCCAAGATATAGAAACTCTTTTTCTGTAAGCGTAAAACACGGACTCCTAACACAAGTATAACTCATTTTTATGATGTTAGTTGCCTCAATGAACTCACGTGTGGATTAGCAACAGTTATTTTAAATTACGGTGCTATTTTTCAAGTCCGCAGTGCACCCACTGTCACGGCAGTGAATGCCCAAAAGTCCAAAAGCGGGCCCGTGGGCTCACAGTTATCGCGCTTGCCTTGCGCGGAAAAAGTAAGGTTCGATGCCTGGACGCGGGTACACATTTTTGTTCCGTGTTTCTGATACAAAACCGTGTTGCTGATATAAGATTAAAATGTTCTACGCGCCGGACCATCTACGCCGATTGTTCCAGAAGCCCACGCGTGTATAAAAGGGGCTCCGCGTGGCAAGACGCTCTCAGTCTTTCGCCAGCGTTTGATCCGGCCACTTCGCCGTCATCGACAGTCGCCTTCGACGCCTGTTATTACTGTTTTGTTTTGGCACAAGTTCGCCTTATTAAACGTTTAGTTTCTTCATCAGTCTCCGTCTCGCCAATCCATCGGTGACAATAACTGAAATTACAATAACAAGAACTGAAAGTTTTCACATTCTGCTTTTTTTAATGTCAACTAGTAATATGCACATACTACCAAGCCCCAGGTTTGAATCATGCCGTTTAACACTTCAGACTGTGGTGCAGAAAAGGAAAAACTTTTAGTCGAAGGTACGGGCGCAAGAGGAAACGTCTCAAACTCAGCAAACTGGTGTTGCGTCTGGAAGGGTGACGACCTCAGGCGCGGAACCAAGATTTGGGGCTGTGGCTCGCTGCTACCATGGCCCCGAGGAAACAGGCCTAGAGTAGAACTCTTCTGTACATTGAATATACAAGTAGCATGGTCGACTGGTTAATCGGCTATTGGCAGTCAGCAGTCCGCAGTCGGCAGTCAGCAGTCGGCGCCTTCGGACTCTCTGAGCCCAAGATATACAACCCTCCGAGAGCGAGAAGGCCCGCGGAGCGAGAAAGGAGCCTTCCCCGGCATTCGAGTGTTCACGTGGTGTTCAAAGTTCGGGGCGGCTGATGCAATTTCCGGGTGTTCTTTCACCAAGGGCAGATGATGCAATCCTTCCACGTTCTTGCCCCGCTTCGGTGGCTGATGCAAGGAGTCGACGCCCGTGCTGAAACCCAACACCGACAGACCCACACACACACACAGGCACGCACACGCACGCCGGTGCTTCTCCCTTCGAATGCTGGCGGTCCCAGACGGTCTCGTGGCCTTCGGGAGACCTTCCTTTTGTGTTTGGAGCCCTCCTCGAAAGCCACCACCGGCCCGATGACTCAAGGGTCGGTCTCGGGAGTCCGAACGTGACTGTCTAGCGCCGCAGGCGCGCGCCGGGGCCCATCGTGACAATAGGCTTTACTGCCGTTGGCGACAGGGGAAGGCCAGGTCCGGGGGCCTTTCACAACACTGGTTTATTTCTCTAGCATCCTGCATAAATCACACACAGCCACTCTCTGCCTCCGGCTATGCAGAGATCCCTATTGTTGACGGCATTTATAAATACAATTGTATTTGTATTTCAAGGTACTTTCAACAAAGCAGATCTCCGCGTAGATGAGAGTGGCTGTGTGGGTATATATAGCATGCTTGAGGTACAAACCAAGTAGCAATATGTTTAAGGCCCTCTTTCTGCGATAATTCCTTCGACTAAAAATTTCCTTTTTCCTTTTTTGCGTCCGAGTTTTAGATGTTAAACGACATAATTAGATACCACCAGCTCGCCTGCGAAATACCCAGTGATGTAGAATAACCGCATTCTGACCTTAAAGGGTCGATGCAACATCTTTGTTCTTTGCGCGATTACCGCTTAAAACAAAACCCTGACGTTTATGACCAATGAAACTCGTTTTCGTTTTTCTCCCCACTCCAGAACCGTCGCTCAAAAAATTAAAGAAAAACGAGCAGCGTTTACTCCCTCAACTTGCAGCCACAACAAGCGGCCTCGTTATCTGGAGCAGGTTATAAGCTGCTACTCTTGATCATACTCACGCTCGGAGTTTGGCAAACCACAGTACATGCGCTGAGTTACAGACATTTTTAGGGTTCGGCTACTGTCGTCATTGCTGCGATTGGACACGAGCCATAACCAGAATGCTTGTCGAGCTATTCAGTATCAGAGAACCCAAATCGGCTGCTCTAGCAATGCTCGGGTTCAAACTATGAGCCGCATTCCTATATCGTCGCTGGGGAACTATGCCGGCACTGCGACTCCCACGGTACTTTATCGATGTTTACGAAAAAGAGACTGAAAAAAAAAACGCTCGATTTTATCCTTGAAATTACACCACAACAAACGGGTTTCTTGGTCAAGGGCGTCGCGTGCGAGAATACTTGGGTCCTACTTGTCTATAGCTTATGAAGGCAGAGTCATACGGCAAGGTACATCTTTAGTGGAGACACGCGTTCTTCAACGATTATGGCTGATTGCCGATGATCGAACCACAGTACCACAGGCTCAGCTCGCGCAAATCAGAGTTCACGTGCCGGTCAGGCCTGCCGGTCATGCAACCAGGGCATTGCTGTATTATGCAACAATGACCTCTATATTACATTCCTTCCCCCTCAGGTGGGACAGTTCCGTAGCGGATGACTGGACGTCGCTCTCGTTCTGACCTTCTGAGCGGCTGCTCCGGCTGAGCCGCTGGCGATGAGACAACCTGAGGAACAGGTCTTTCTGGGTTTCGCCTGGCAGGAGATGTTTGTGGTGTTCCATGTCCAGGCGCAGTCGTTGGTGGCAGATTGACGTCGTAGTCAATGTCAGCTTCAAGGTTGTCATCCCAGTCAAGCCAAGCCTTCCTGAGGTGATCACGATGACGGCGATGAACTTCTCGATTGGCCAACTGGACCTTGTAGGAGACTGGTCCTGTCACTGCAACAACCTTTGCCGCTTTCCATCGTGGTCCCGTCAC